AAAGGGCTATAACTCTGTATAAAATTGAGTACAAGACAGTATTTATAATCCAAGTCATTCAACCATCCCTAGAGATATTCGCGTACAAAATGTGTAGCTGACCGGATATTTGAGATATGCTCCTAATCAACTGACATATTGTCTAACCGGTGTGGAGTGTCAACAGATAAAACGATGCGTGATGCTAACGTTTGATTACGTTGTGATGTTACGCTTTTTTCTCTCTATATACTAGGTATATGTAATTGAGGTTTTAATATTTTTATGTTTATAAAGCAGGCGGGAGTATCTGGATAGCATCCTAAAAATCAGGCATGAAAACTGCTGCTTTGATTTGCCGAGCGCACAATTGTATCTTTGGGTAGCCTCATAACTACTGGAACGTTGTCGGTTTGAGCTGCACAAAGATCGTTATACGATCTGGCACGAATGGGCATAGGATGGTACACAACGATTGGGAGCGGTAGGATTAAACATGTTCGTGTTCAAGTAAATTGACATTAGGGTCATCTGTGGCCAGTGATCATTGTCGCGTGTTCAGTTTTGATTCAAGACATTCACTACAGCTACGCGATTACATCATACATAAATACATTAGTGATAGTCATTAAATTTTAGAAACATTATTTTACCACCGACGACGTTTCTCATTTAAATCAAATTCCTCTGTCGACAAAAAACAATGTTTTTCTCTACGCTTGATAATTCATTTTTCGTTTTACGATTTTATGAACACTCTGATATGGCATTCGAACAGCTCGTGTCTAAAATAACACTCAATATACAATAACATCAACACATTAAGATCCTCACTGCAGAGACGGCCTCGCATTCGATCGAATTTACGTATTATTTGAACTCATCGAGCGAGGTATATCACGCCTTTCTAAAATTAATCAACTGATATTGATTGATTATCGATCTTAATTGTGACAAACAGAGGTTTATGCTTACAATGTAACACTAGGAATATTGTTTCTAAATATAATAGAGGGGCAAGTTTCGAAGCATATCATATTATTATTGTTCACCTGATAGGTTTTAGGCCCTTCAATGTTGCCCATTGCACAATCCCCTGTCTTCCCATCCTATCCTTACAACGAATCTTCCTGAAAATATAGCTAATTGCACGGAATTATCTTCCGATGCACGTATTCACCTGAAGACCGAAGAAAACATGTAGTTAGTTTCCGATTACCTTACCTACACCTATTTGTTGTGCCTACACATAACTGTTTTGCCAATTTTCTCGGAAGCACTGTTAAAGTCAGGAATAATCTCCTTTATAATCATAAAACATGAAAACTAAAATTTATTTCCTACCTTCCCTTATTGTTTTTAGACATATAACAGGAAACGAACACTTGTTTTTGTTTTTTTCTTTGTTCTAATTCAATTTACTGTCTAGACTAAATCCCATCCCTTTCAAACCAGATATTTTCACTGTGTTCTATTATGGCACATTACAAGTTTATATGTCATACTGGCGATAATAATGTGTATAACGAACCAAATGGCGACAGCAAGGACCTTTCCTATCTATTTTTACTTGTATTTCCATTTTTGGTCTTTACACTTGGTAACGCCTTTCTTGGCACATCCCCTTCTTTCGGCTATACTGTGGAACGTTTGCCAGTGAGAGGGGGAGGGGGACAATGGGGTCTGTCCCCTCTACAGGAACATCCAAAGTCCTTAAAATAGTATCTGTTAATCCCTAATAACGCTAAGCATTTAGGGTAAGCGATACATCGGGTTTAGCCGTTGTCAATATAATATGACCGAATCGAGCACTGCGTTTGGTGCCTTCGGCATGATATTTCAGTTAAATAGACCTTTAAAGTCCACCAGACACACATACGTTACAATAAGGATGTGCATGTCCTTCCTAAACTTAGTTGTAAAGAGCACGCTTAACCAAAGATACCAGAGTAAACCAAACCTTGATTAATTTCTGACTAAAGGTCCTTCCGGGGTAGATAAAAAAAATGGTCATACACTGTATTTCAGCGAAAGGTCGTAACGTGGTCAAAGTTAGTTGCGACATCAGAAGAATATTACGCTATGTTCCTGATTGTATACGCTCGTCAAAGGTTTGACGTAGCGAAAGTTGTTTTGGGACCTCCGTCATTATATCATATGTTACTGTAGTGTGTCCGGACGTGACGTACGTTGTTTTCGGGAACCTCCGTCAGTATATATGTTACTGTCATGTGTCCGGACGTGACGTACGTTGTTTTGGGAAACCTTCGTCACTATATACAGTATGTAACTGTAGTGTGCCTTGACGTGACGTACGTTGTTTTGGGAAACCTGCGTCAGTATATATGTTACTGTAGTGTGCCTCGACGTGACATACGTTGTTTTGGGGAACTTCCGTCAGTATATATGTTACTGTAGTGTGCCTGGATATGACGTACGTTGTTTTGGGGAACCTCCGTCAGTATATATGTTACTGTAGTGTGCCTGGGCGTGACGTACGTTGTTTCGGGGATCCTCCGTCAGTACAAAGGGACCAATGGTGCACAGGGGACATAACTCTGACTGTCGTTGCAAAGCTATACCTGATTTTAATGCCCGAAACTCCGCCATTTCAAGAGGAAGTCGCATGTGAGAGGTCGATTGCCTGTCTGATTGAGTGCAAACATGATATCCTCTAGGCTAAAACCAATTGTGTTGATTAGATTTGTTACGTCATGTTTTGTTTTTGTTCTCCGAGCTGAGCAAGGGCATCTGGATAGCGTTTAGAAACCCAGGACTGTATATGCTGTAGCTTTGATTTGTCGATTGTAATAAAACATTTGGGTAAAGAAATGACTAGTTATAAAACGCTAGGGTTTCGAATCAAAGGGCACGAAACACGCTATACAGTAAGACACCACTGGGCATAAGATGACACAGCTGTATGATAAAAAATACAAATACTACAAGAAACAGAGGTCGTGTTTCTAGTCCAACTGTCTAGAGGCCATCTGTAACTAGCGTTGTTTTTGATGTTTGTTTTTTTGTTCGGCATTGCAGTACAGCAGCACGAACACAACACATTTATTGCCGATAGACAATAAATTGTAGAAACATAATTATATTATTTAGAACGTTTTGAAATGTTTTCTCTGTTGAGAAGACCTTAAGCAATGTACACTAAGACGTCAAACAGAAAATCGCTCCAATCGTTATAGCTCCATAACATAAACAATATATTCAAGTTAATCCTTATACTTTAATCTACTATACACAATCCCTGTTGAAATCAACTTTTATTGATGGACTCTTTTCTCTTAGAAATTATTACGCCGCTGTATCAGCCAATCAAAAGCGACGTTACAAACGGCGACGTCATTTTTTTATGTTATGGGCTGATAACATATTTTTTTAGGCCAATGAAAAGGTTTGTTACAAGCGAGATTAAATTATTGTACATTGTCTTTAAAGTCGTACATGTAAGTTTTCGTTCTCAAAATACATACATTGTGACGTGTGGTTTTGGTATTAGGTACTGCAGGTAATAGGAATTGCCTCTTACAAGAATAAACAGTAACGTCAGTTAACCCATGAAACCAATTTATATATTAAAGCCATAAAGTTCAGAATTTACTTCATAAGATTTTCCGATTATGGTCACACAAAATGTTCCTACCGTCATCCCGAACCTTACTACGTCTTCACACTTACGTACAGATGTAGTTATTCACAGAAGCACCAGGAGTCATGCATTTTCATCTGTATTCAAATTGTGTCTAGATTGTCTAGATTGTAGATTAAATGCCGTACGAAGGTAATTCGAATGAAGATCATAGTGTAGTTTAAGGTCATCATTTCTATAAAGTTAATATTTCGACAGAAGGTCATATTTTGGTCAAATTTGGTTATAATATAACACGTTATGTATTTGTAATATGATGTGGCCGTGGGGGCATCAAAGCAAACATCAAAGCACTCGGCTGAATGATGTATGAAATTGGCCTTGTCTAGTGATTGTCTGTCCGAGTGACAAAGTTTCTAACGGGTTTAACACATTTGTTGTATTGTTATCATGTATCACATGTTCAGGTGAGAGACTGACGTCATGATGAAGTTATCTTAATATAAAGTTTTAGTTTAAGGCGTTAAGATGTTTACTTACAATGTGTAAAAACTTTAGATGTGATGTAAGTTTGCAAATTGATGTTTTTAAATGAAGTAGAAATGTAGAAATAGCAAAGTGTTGTCACCACCCAGGAATGTCTTGGTGACCTTAAACAATCACAGCTCATGGTCATATAACAACAATTGATATAGTTAACCATGATGCTTATAGCAATCAAGCAATAAATCTCCTCCAAACGACGTAAGTTCTACCTTTGAGACTTCTAGGAAACATAACTATGATTATTTTCCATAGAAGACAGCGCTTCCTTTGAAACCTCTATAGGAAACACAACACTACAGCTGTCTCTATTGACCAAAGTGCAGTTGTAGAGACTTCAAGGAAACACACAACACTTTTCTATAGAATATAGCAAGTACTGCAAATAATCGTTTTCCTTAGACGAAAGTGTTGAGTTTGAGATCCATAACAACGACATCACTTGTTTTTTCCATAGAATACACAGTTTACACTGCAACCTATATATTGAAGTCAGAACACTAAATCGTTTTCAATAGACGATAGTGCTGACCTTGACAGTGGTTCTGATGAAACATCTTTTATCTAAATACAATCCCTGATTAACCCTATTTGAAACCTGTCATGATAAATAATTAACACCGCCTAGCAAAAGTTGACCGACTTAAACAGATATTGCGGATAAGATTTTTAGAAAGTATAAATTCATGTCATAGTTCGGCTTTAGCCTGTCAGTCAAAAAGTGTATCTTGCAAAAGATGGATTGGTGTAAAAATATTTACATAAATATTTTACCTTTGAAGCTTCTTGTTTTATCGTAAAATCCTTGGCATATTAACATATAATTTCATCGAAAGTTTCATATAAGTAAGACATTGTTGTATTTTTTTCTCAACAGCCCTGCCACCTGAAGTCTACGCCATCTGGGAGGCCTATCCTTGGCGGTTTGGGGAGCCCTTTTGTATTTTCAAATCCTTTCTTCTGGAATCTACGTCATACGCGTCTGTGTTGACAATAACTGGGTTTACGATAGAAAGATACATCGCTATCTGCCATCCAATCACGGGACAGAAAGTGTCTCGACAATCACGTGCTATGAAATGCATACTTTGCATTTGGATAGTCTCGGCATTATCCGCCCTACCATACCCCATCCACACTCGAACGTTTTATTACATGCAGGATCCTCGGACTTCATCCCCGATACAAGACTCCCTTCTCTGTAACATCCCGATACAGTGGCATCCTAGAATGAAAATAATGTTTCAGGTGTCAACTTTCGCCTTTTTCTTCCTGCCAATGACTGTTATAACCGTTATGTATATATTGATAGGGATTCGGTTACGAAAAACAGAAATAGGTTCGTCCATCAGATATTTTTCAAAAGGTGCAAAGTCCACAGCAACCCGTGCAAGAAAGGCTGTTCTCCGTATGCTAGGTAAGTATAATCTTATTTCCTTCTTAAAACAATATCAATTGATTGAATGAACTCGAAAATGAACTACAGTGAACATATGTGAAAACAGTTTAATGGATAGGGAAATAGTAATTGATGAGAAGCAGTTTTAATTGATTGGATAGATTATTAATTGATGGAATAAAATATAGATAGAACAAAGTTTTAACTAATGGATACAGTATGAATAGATGGGATACAGTATTATTTGATATGACATATTAATAATTGATAGAATAACGTATGAATTGATGGATACATTATTAATTGATGGGATAGATTAATGACTGAAATTCGGTATTAATTGATAAGAAACAATATGATTTGATGGGGTATGATATTTATTGATGGGATACAACATTAATTGATGGATAGATAATTAATTCACGATATACAAATCTGTAAATCATCAATTGATAAGATACAGTATTAATTGATGGGGTAGATTAATAAAGAAATTCGGTAATAATTGATGAGATACAATATGTTTTTGATGGGATATTATATTAATTGATGGTATACGACATTAATTGATGGATAGCTTATCAATTGACGATATACAACCAGTACAGCATTCATCGATGAGGTACAACATTATTTGATGGTATACAGTATTTGTTAATGAATAAATTATTAATTGGATACAGGATCAAATAATAGCAAATAAAACATGAAAGCTTTGATCTGTATATACATTTTGATTGAAGATTTGTTGATTTAGATATACAATATGAATGTATTGACAATAGAGAGGACATAAATAATGAATATTATTGGGTAATAACCCGTGAAAGTGCAACTGTAATACATACCAGGTGACTAAACGGATTTTATTCACCCTTTTTGTTAAGGTTAAATCACTTCAGAAAGACCTCCGTGATATTTTCAAGTGCCCGAATATTTTCTTGTCTTGTTTAATAACTGTATACCCTTTTTAGTGGCACTTATTAAAGACTTTTTATATTTTTGTGTCGATGTCATATTAACGAAGCATTGCGTTCATTCTTCGGTCATTGCCTGTCACCGACTTCCTCCTCTTCGAAACAGAATTAACAAACAAAACACTTACAGATTGCTAGAATGTAATGTGCGTCTATCCATATAGCATATATATGGCTGCCATCCGCTTAAGGTCGATAATTCTGTAACAACCTGCCTTTGCAATAATACAGGAATATCATAAACTATACACGATTTTCTCTGTATTGAGGAAACTGTGCATCCTGGTCTTTGACCTTCAGTGTTAGTATGAGTGCAGAATGAGTTAAATGGTAACCAAAACATATTTTGCTCTTTTTGATAGTATTATTTTGTTCAGCATAGCGTAACTGAAATATACATATTACATTGAAAGTATTCTTATTAACGATTCTAATGTTTACAGCTTTTGTATGCAGTAACGTATTTCATTTTTAGAAAATAACGCCAAACTATAAAACATTGGTGTTGTCATACGTAATACATGTAAGTTCTTTTTGTAATAGAAATATCTTACTTAAGTATACCTTAATAATTTGTGTCAAAAAGATCAAGCTTTCGTGTGGTGTTGACAGAGACTAACATAGATCACACAAGCATTTGTTTATGAAGAAAATAAATGTTATTAATGTTTTAATAAGAAAATTTGAGTGTATATTTTACCTTGGTTTTTAATTAATTCAGCCAAAAAAGCTGTTGAAGCCCTTGATTTGTCAGTCCATTTATTTTATTTGTTTATTTTGTTTTTTGAATTTTCAAACTTATCTCTACACATTGTTTTAAATATGAAAACAAATTTAAATAGATACATGTATAATATTAAAATTGATACACTTAAACGTTATTATAAAAACCTATTTCAAACGTTTTCACGTAGACATTCAACAAATTGTTTATGAAAAGTAATCAAGATACGATAGATAAGCAAAAGCAATGAATAATTATCGTATGTGAAAATGACGTACCTTTTGGAATCGACAGCTTTCACTCAGAAAATATACCTGATAAGTGTTAACGATTAATCAATAAGTAAATGCACGTGCTGTCAATGCTTCTCTCGCCATCATTGATCTTCTTGCTTCATGGTTCGATAATCACAACAGCGGATTAATTTGTCTGCTATGATAACGTTTACTATCCGTTCACGCCGAACACAAACTCCATTGCCCAGCGTCCTGTTAGCTTTGTCACCGGTTGATTGTAACACGTTGGTTCCGCATTGCTCTCAAAAGATGTCAGAATTGATTTTAGTAAGTCAAATGATTTAAATTTGCCAGATATTTCAGGCGGTGGAATTAGGTTGCTGATTGATTAAACCTTAACAGCTTCAGGTAACAAAAGTAGTAGTTCCTAGAAATCTGTCAAGACCTAGTACACATCTGCCTAAATACCAAAAGAAAATCAAGAGAGGAAAAAAGGTGGGGGGGGGGGAAAGAGAAAGAAAAAACAAGTCGGCATAATTTAAGTATAACACGCGAATTAATCAAAAGAAGAAATTTGAATTCTGATTTGTAACAATGTAACTTTTTAAATGAGCATTTGCGTAGATGATTTTTTTTTTTTTTATTGGAGAAAACATCCATATTAAAAAGTGTCAAGATAGTGTATTGCTTAGCTAATCTGGTGGTGGTTGGTATCGGAATGGCAGTTGTCACGTAAAATCTGCTTAGCTGGATAATGTATTTCATTGATTAAAATCTTAACATGTAATTGTCAAAACAGTTGATGCGTAAAAGAAATCCTTAGGGCATACAACATTAAAATACACTTTCAAACTTTTGAAGCTGACGAAATATAAGTATATCCCTTGGTATAGAGAAACATGTTTTATTGTTTCTCCTTTATTAAACAAGATTAATCATGGGGAAACAACAAAACTCATTTTTCCTCTCCCAAAAGGCAAAATATATTGTTTTGTTCCGAAATAGAACAGTAACACACCAGTAAAAGTGTTATGACATTAATGACTGCTAAAGTCACTTGGAACCCATGTATTATGCATGTAGGTCCTGATTCTGTATATTCATGTATGACAGTGTAAATTGGAGCAACAGTACTAAACACGGTGGGTTTTTTTCCACATGTCAATAGGTACGTTTTGTATAGATAAGGAATACTTCAAAGTATTTGTATTACATAAACAGGACGAAACATGTACGATGTACGTACACGTCTCGATTGCATTAAGCTGTTATGTTTATAAATGTTCGTACACAAATAAAAAGGGGTCATTTCGGTGGGGACAACACGTCAATCACAATTTCAATTGAGTCACCAATTGTTGTGTAATTATTCACCATTTTTCACTGATTTTGTATGGAAAGTCTCATGGAGTTTCGTTAAGCTGACAAAATGTTAACCTCCACGCGAGCTGTAAATCAAGTGTCTTAACTACTAGCTTATGTACATTTCACGAGGTTTGATATATACTTTTATATTAATATTTCAACTAAAATATTACCAAAAGCAATTGTGTTCATTGTGCTTTGAACAGAAATAAAAATGTGTACAGCAGAAAACACTCCTAGAATGTACTGTACACCCAAGATCCACAAGCAGGGAAACCCACTGAGGCCTATTTTCGACTACATTGGATTCATTGGTTACAATGTTTCCAAATCATTAGCAGACATTCTTGGACCGCTAGTGGGTAAATCGGAACACCATGTAAAGAATCCAAAACGTCTATCGGAAGCTAAGTCTACCATCATGATTCAGGAAGACGAAGAATTCATTTCACATGATGTTAACGTTGTCTCTCTCTTTACTAACACACCCATTGACGACGCACTTAGGATCATTCGGAAACGCTTAGAATTAGACAGATCCTGGCGCAAAAACACAAACCTTCTGATTCAGGACATCATGGATTTGCTTGAGTTTGTGCTCACAACAACATCTTTTAATTTCTGGAACAACATCTATCAACAACGCTTCAGTTCTGCTATGGGTAGTCCAGTGTTTCCCATTGTGGCCAATTTGTTCATGCAACATCTGGAGCAAGAAGCAATAGCCACTGCCCCATAGAATGCAAGCCTAGCTTATGGAAACGTTATGTTGACGACATACTTGAGATAATCAAGAATGAATCACAGAAAGATTTGACCACAAATTTACATGTGAGGAAGAAACCAACGGCACAATGCCCTTTCCTAGACAATCTACTGGTAAAGAAAGAAGACGGAACCGTGAAGGTATTGGTCTATATAAAAAGGCACAGATTAACAGGACAAAACACAAGAGCAAAATCACATCGCTAGGGCAATGAGTACATGTGCATATCCGGTATTGGCCCTAAAACGGGTACAAAAACAGTGTCAAAGTAAGGAGAAGAAGAAGAAGAAAAGGCCAATCAAGGATAAGAACAAAACCGAAGGGCAAGTGGTCATCCCGTATATAAAGGGTATATCCGAAACCATCCAGAGGATATATCGCGGTCATGGCATAGCAACAGCCATGAAGCCCCACAAGACGCTTCGCAATAACCTAATACACACTAAGGATAAAACACCTAAAGAAAACCTCGCAGAATGCGTATACAAAATCGGATGCAGAAACTGCGACGCGTCATATATTGGAGAGACTGGAAGGCGAATTGGGGTCCGCCTTGGTGAACACCGGAAAGACACAGAAACCCAAGAGGGTAGGAAATTCACCAAATCAGAAAGAGAACAGTCGGAGTCCCAGATAAATAAATCGGCAATCACAGACCATGCCACACAGAAAAAACATGTGATTGACTTAGATAACTCGAAAATTTTGGACAGAGAGAGCAATCTATTCAAGCGGCGTATGAAGGAAGCCATCTGGATACGCCGCAGTGGGCTAGTTCTAAATCGAGAAAAGGGGGCTCAAAGACTCTCGCACATCTATGACCAAGTGTGAACAAAGCGTAGCTGAATCGAGTCATTTCGGTACAAATATAACAGCTATTGTACATACAATTCCAGCGTAGCCAAAATCGACATCGATTTTATGGACAACTCGTACACAATTTACACCTT